TGGCTCTAGGTGAGTGATCACACCATTCTGATTATCTGGGCCGTGAAGATCTTTTTTGTATGGTTCTTCTGTGCATTCGTGCCACCTCTTCTTAATATCTTCTGCTTCTGTTAGGTCCCTATGATTTCTGTCCTTTATTGAGCCCATCTTTGCATGAAATGTTCCCTTGATATCTCTAATTTTCTTGACGAGATCTCTAATCTTTCCCATTCTGTTGTTTTCCTCTGTTTCTTTGCATTGATCGCTGAGGAAGGCTTTCTTATCTCTCCTTTCTATTCTTTGGAACTCTGCATTCAAATGGGTATATCTTTCCTTTTCTCCTTTGCTTTTTGCTTCCCTTCTTTTCACAGCTATTTGTAACGCCTTCTCAGACAGCCATTTTGCTTTTTTGCATTTCTTTTTCTTGGGGATTGTCTTGATTCCTGTCTCCTGTACAATGTCCTGAACCTCCATCCATAGTTCATCAGGCACTCATCAGATCTAGTCCCTTAAATCTATTTCTCACTTCCACTGTATAGTCATAAGGGATTTGATTTAGGTCATACATGAATGGTCTAGTGGTTTTCTCCACTTTCTTCAATTTCAGTCTGAATTTGGCAGTAAGGAGTTCATGTTCTGGGCCACAGTCAGCTCCCAGTTTTGTTTTTGCTGACTGTATAGAGCTTCTCCATCTTTGGCTGCAAAGAATATAATCAATCTGATTTCGGTGTTGACCATCTGGTGATGTCCACATGTAGAGTCTTCTCTTGTGTTGTTGGAAGAGGGTGTTTGCTAAGACCAGTGCCTTCTCTTGGCAGAACTCTATTAGCCTTTGCCCTGCTTCATTCTGTACTGTAAAAGGCCAAATTTGCCTTTTACTGCAGGTGCTTCTTGACTTTCTACTTTTGCATTCCAGTCCCCTATAATGATTTCTGTGATATTGAGTGGTTTGCCTTGGAGAGGGTCTCACAGGTGGGTATCAGCTCCCAGGGCAGCTGTGTGACTGGTATATGGAATGCCCAGTAGGCTGCAGCACTTCATGGGGGTTTCATATCTGTAATTTCACAATGATTCTGTAGTTGGTTATCATCACCTTTTACAAACAAGAAAAGTGAAGCCACAAAGTCTCCAACTAAAGAAAGTGTTAGTTGCTTAGTCGTGTACCACTCTTTGGGACCCCATGGACTGTAGCCCGCAGGATCCTCTGCCCGTGGTGTTCTCTAGGCGAGAACACTGGAGTAGATTGCCATTCCCCTCTCCAGTGGATCTTCCTGACCCAGGAATCAAATCCGAGTTTCCTGCATTGCAGACAGATTCTTTATGTTTGAGCCACTGAGGGAACCTGACTAAAGAAGGCAGCTCGAAAGGGGAAAACCAGGAGTGTTACATCAGCTGTTTTCTAGCAAGTCCCTGCTTTGGGCGCTGGTTTCAGCCTTCTTCACTTAGGGCTGCCCTTGTCTTAGAAGGTCATGCAATGGCTCCAGAGCTGACGTCTGTCCAGAGATCGATGTTGTACACTGCACAAGGGTGCCGGGGTCCAGCCTCAGCAGGATCCAGGGGGTACCCTCAGGATGAACGGCGTTGGCGAGAGAAAGAGAGAAGACACATGAGACCAGCCTTGATAGGGCCAAGTCTGCGAGGGAGAGAGAGAGAAAGAGAGAGAGAGAGAGAGTGTGTGTGTGACCAGAAGGGGGTGCAGAGAGTCTGGCAGAGTCTGGCCATGCTTTATTTTTTGCCATAGCTTTTATACCCTAAGTTAGTACATTTCTAAGGGGAAGATAGTTTAACATTATGTCAGTTTGTCCTTCACAAAACCAGGGTGTTTTCTGCATACTTCTTTGTTTATGAGGGTCTTGTACATTATCTTCTGGCCTTGGGGGCTATTAACATTTTATGCAGGTCAGGTGAATGTAAACCTATCTTCTGTTTCTATGGTGACCTTAACTAAAAGGTAGCAGTCTCATAGGGCAGTAGTACAGAGTAGAATTATATTCTTGTTAATACAAAAATTAATCTTTCTGCAAAAGTTGTCAGTTGCATTTATCTAAGAAGTTTACCCCATACTGACTCTGCGACTTTGGTGAGGCAGCTTCTGCCTAGCACTCCTGGCTGACAATTAACAACTATCTCATTGCTACCACACTAGGGCTAAGTTCTTATTTCTCTAGATCTTTAACTATATTAACAATGGTTTTTAGAACACAACCTTAGCACATTAAAGGCAAAAATACAGCAAGCATAAACACAGCAAGCAAATCACAACCCAATAACCACCTATAGAATAATTTTTCTTATGTTTTCTAATAGGACTCCTTTACCCCTTAAAAGAGCTCTACATCTATTAGGGCTTTTATATAATCAGGTTCTTTATGCTATTTTATGATTAGGATATTATAAGCAATCATGCATATTAGTACCAAGCGCATAAATGCATTTGGCTAACAAACTACCAGCAAAGGAGTTTAAATTAAAACACTCCTTTCACCCTGAATAATCTCATAAAATACCACCACCTGGGAAACTTATTGATTAAAGTTCTAAATGGATTCTTATTTGGGAAGAGATGGGGAAGGCCTTCCTGCCTGTGTCAGAGAAATTAGGGAGTAGTCCATTGAGGCAGGCATCAGAAAGACAGATATCATCTTTAAGGTGAGTGCCGGGGGCAGCTTTTCGAAACCCCTGAAAACCTGATCCGCCTTGCCTGTCAGGGTTTCTCCTCATGACCTTGTTATGGGTGGGATCTCGTGAGCTGGCCTTTTCGAAAACCCCTGAAAACCTTATCCGCCTTGCCCGTCAGGTTTTCTCCCCTATGGCCTTTTTAGGGGTAGGGCCTCATGTGTTGGCTCCCGGCACAAGGGCATCTTCCTGCAAGTCTCAATCTCTTGTATATTGTTTCATCTCTAATTTGTGAAACTCCATCCCGAATGTCTGCTCAAGTAATTTAGCAGCACTGCCCTTTTTGGTTTTAATCGACATCAATTATTGAGGTGCCTACTAACCCATTTTAAATGGATTTCCTGTTAGAGATTAAATGTTTTCACAGGTGACAACTTTTCAGTTTCTGACACCTTAGAGCCCATGAGAAGGGGTTTCAGAGCTCAGCTGATCTGTTTTAAGTCTGGCTTGCTTTGTGACACATCCTTTAAACTCTCTGACGTTAGTCTGCCTATCCATTAAATGGGTATACAACATTTACTTCAAAGGGATGCTGTGACCATCTATTTAGAACACACAGAAACACACAGACTGGTGTATAGGCTTTAAAAAATAATGAACGCTTAATGTAAATCATTACTTTATTTTAAAATTAAAAATAAAATATTCAAGTCTTGGGATATGTAGTAGGTACTGAAAACATGTGTGTTTAATGAATGCAGGTCATTCTACTGCTTGTGGCTTTTTTCAAGGTTCTAAATGCACTTCAAGCAAGATTTGCTGTCAGTGTTTCCCCAGGCCTGTTGATTAATGGGGTGGCTGGGTGGGTGGGAAGAATTCATGACACCCAGGGTCCCTGAATAGGAATGGAAAATCTAGAAAGTTGAGATCAGAATCTCCATACTTGGGCAAATTCTCAGCAGTTCTACTTGTAAACTCTTGTGACCTTGCCAAGTTATTTTCATTTTCAATTCCCGTTTTTGTTTTTTACTCAGGTTGCAGAATAGAAATAATAGAAACATCTTCTCTGCTTTGTGTTCAGGCATATAATGCCCTGCTCAAAGCTAAAGTTCCTTTCATGTTCCGATCACTTTGGATGGTGCAAGAATGCCTGGAGCCTGTTCATAAGTCTCAGCACATTGCTATGAGTCTGGTCCCAGTTTTAGGAGGGTATTGACCCTAGTGATGCTATGCTCACACTGCCTTCATTTACACCTGCTGGCAGTCTCTTCAGAAAATAGAGGAGGCTGCCAGGCTTATTTCAAAGTCATGGATCTTGAAGTCCTTCTGACTCCATGGAAAAACAGGCCTCTATCTGTATACTCTGAAATCTTTATTTATTTGTGATGCCTTTTATATTGCTTTATTTTTCAGTATGATGCTTTGGGGAATTGTTATTGAAGAATTTGAGTGAAAAGCAATACACACACAGTATACAGAAGTTGATACAAAACTATTCATTCATCAATTAAATGTATTCAATTTACCTCCTTAATATAAGGTCACTTCCATGATGATGTTTGGAATAAGATTCCTTCTCCCAGGGTGCCAGTTTTTAGTTTTCCGTATCTGCAGACCATAACTCTCAAATCTCCAAGTAGGAATACACATAATAAAATGATTACATTATAGTAGAAGTGGGGTAGTTCTTAAAATTATTTATTTTTATTTCCCCTTTATTGAAATATGTTTTGATACATAACACTGTATATATAACTCTACATATTTTTAAATGATTACTATAATAGGGTTTTAAAAAATACGAATCATTAAATGAGTTGAGAAAGCAAAAACAGTCTTTTTTTACAACAGTTCTCAATACATGTAAATATTACCTTCAAATCTGATTACTTGCTCTACCTTCTTTTCAACTAAAAAAAAAATAATAATAATAACAAAAAACACTTCTCCTAGTATCAGTGTGCGGGCTCAACCATCATCCCCATGGTGAAGCTCGGTCTCCTTAGACTGAAGTCCATTGACCCGCTCAGCTGCCGAGAGCGGGAAACCTGCAGGTGAAGGAACTAGGACCTCGGATCCAGAGCGACCTCCCCAGCGTCCTCTGTAGAGAGTTCAGGTGGAAGATCTTCAACCATCTGACTCGCACTTCCGCCCGCCACCGCCAGGGGCGCCCGGGCCTCGCGGAGCTGGCAGCGCGGCAGGGGCCGGTGGAGGCGGCGGTGGGGGTTGGGCTGGGGGTGTGTCTGCAGGTTGGGGCTCCCGCCCCGCCGGCTGCGCGGGGTCGCAGTGAGCTGAGGAGGAGGCGCTGGCGACCCCGAGAGGGAGGGAGCAGGCAGACCCCAGCTCAGAGCACCTGCCTGGACACCCTGGGTTTTGGGGGTGGGGGAGCCCCGGCGACTTCGAGCATGGACCCCGTGGCGGGAACCTTTCTCAGGATGCTGTTTCTTTTGTCTGCCCAGCCCTGGAGTACATTAGCAGCAGGAAATACTTGTGAGTACAGCACGCCTTTTAAAACTTATGCTGACAACTTAGAATTCGTGTAATTAAAAAATAGTAATAATTGAATTTTACAAATGGACTAGCTGGCCTGTTTCTGAAAATGAGGCATTTAAAAAAACATCGCAGAGTCCCAGCGTTTGGATGGGACGGTTTACAGTGGTTTTCCCACTCGTCAGGTCTATGAAACACAAAGCCTGTTTGACTTTTCGTCTGTGAGCTGAATTTTGTCTCTGTGCTGTTGTTTTGAATATTCACTGAGAAAGCTCAAGTTCTGGTAAAACCTAAAATTAGCATGAGAATATTGAGGCGGACAGAGACCAGAGAGAGAAAGGAGAGATCATGCCAACGCGGTCATTTATTTCTGTGCATTTTGCTGGTTTATGTAAGAAGGAAAATCGCTGATGGGTGCTGGTGGGGCTCTGCAGAGCTGCGTACGGAGAACTCCGGCGCTGCACAGGCGGGCGGGCCCCGCGGCAGAGCTCAGATGGCGAATCTGGATAGTCAGAATTCCGGTAAGGACAGACCCGTCAAAGGTGGATGGCTTTTGCTGAAAGGAAAAGTAAAACCTGCCATTCAGGTTCATTTGCAAGTATACTTGCTTCTATATTGTGATCTGTTGTGTTTCTGATTTTGTGGGTTCTGTGAAGATGTATTAACCCCTCAGTTCTGAACTAGCACCCTGAGTGATCTGAAGATGCTAGCCAAACTGATTCAGCTGACCTCAGGGCATTTTAATCTGAAAATCAGAAAAAGTTTTCCAAGTGTTATTCAGATTAAAATCTCCATCACAGGGCTTTTCTTTCCTTGAGGGATTTTAAGAAAGCCCCCATGTCCTCCTTCCACACCATATTCCCTTGAATAATTTTTAAAAAATCAAGCTGTAGGGAGTAAGGTAAGCTAGTATGCATTTCAAGAAAGTGCTAGTAGGCATGCTTAGAAACTGACCTTGTTTCTGGATATCCAGATTTAGCTGGAGTGGGGGAGGGGAAACAACTCTGCCCTCACAGTGAAGTTTGTACTAAAGTGAAAAGCATTTTGTACAAATACAGTTACCCTTCCAGCATTCATCCATATATCCAGTCTGTGATACTTTTGTGCTGTCATCATTTAGTATTAGCTCATTTAATGCCATATTATGTGAGTCTCTCCTAAAAATGAGTGTTAGCAAATACTGCCCTGTGTTTCAGACACAATTTTAATTATCTTTGTGTACAACTTCCATGAGTTAGTTAAAATGGGGGCATTTACATGAACTCCGTAGGTCCTGCAGTCACTTTGTCACTCTGCCGAGAACTTAAAAATGACTAGTACTGAATGATTTGCTAGTATGAAAGAATTGTAGAATAATTGAATGCAGTACCCTGAGGTGCAATTAAAAAGTCACTGGAGGTCCCTCTTACTTAAAAGAAGCAGCTTCAACAGTCCTTCCCTTGTAAGATAAGTGGAGATCTGTGCTGCCTTTCTTGCTTCCTTCGTTGTGATTACAAGATACTGGCAAGATCAGTTGTTTGTATATTTATTTTTTCTGTTTGTGTTTTGTCCCCTGAAATCCACAGAGGTATGATGTTCTTCTTACTGAGCATCTTTTTAACAGTGGCCACCTGGGTCTCTGGCTGCCTCTTCAAATATCACTGCTAGTTTTAACTTTTTAGCCTGTTTTATTTAGATGTATTTGGTACTGTTGTTTAAAATTCAGTGAATTAAAAGTACCTATGTAAATTTGCATTGTTAAGAACATTTGAGATTCTATAGTTAAAATCCTTGACTACCAAACAGATGGCTGTTACAGTTGATTAAGTGTGAAGTATATATTTAAATGACTTTGCAGACTAAAGGTTCATAGAGACTAAACAGAGTGATAATTTCTTGGTAATTGCATTTGACAGTATCCTTTGTAACCATAGCTTCAAAGGCCAGTGGATCTCATTATAACCCATATTAGCTAATTGGATCAATTAGGTTTTTCCTTAACTCTAGAATGTTTGGGAGGTGTCTGTCTATGTAGATTTATATACAAGCAAGGTGTTTCAAGCTTATATTTGAAATTTGTTATTACTTAAGTCAAGGTAGAGTTGTTTTTTTTTTTCAGTCCTGTCCCATCATTTGAGAAATTCTAAAAAGGAGTTTGCCACCAGGGTGGGATTTAGGCTTATGAAGAAGAAATCATAAACATCAGCATTGCTTAAGGCTTTTGCTGGCTAACCTTTTTATTCCTAAGAAGTATTTTAAGAACTCAAGTAATCCTTTCAGACAGGATTTTAAAACTAACAAAAATGAAATATTCTTGAGCCTTAATAAGAAAATAGTGATAATTGTATGTAAATTTTTAAAAGGTACAGATCTTTCCCCCCAAAGGACATGTTTGCTCTGTTTACAACTTGTTCTCAGTAGTAAATCATACAGAGGGGTCAGCCTGGGTGAGCTTCTGGCATAAGGCATCCTCTCAAGGTATAAGACTTGCTTGAAACATTTGGCATCTCAGAAATTACCCATGTTTCGAAATGAATCTTTACAATTAATGGGAAGTTTTAAGTCAGGAAAAGTCTGCATGGAGAGAGTAATGTTTCTAAAGACCCAAAAGCATGGACTTTATGTATGTATGTACACACACACACACACACACATAAATATATACAATCTCTGCCTTTTTGAAGATAAAACACACACACACACACACACACACACACACATGTCTTTTTGAAGTTAAAACAAGTTGAATGAGCAGCATCTCCAAATTTTGGCCTAGGACTTGATATTTAAAAATCATCTACCGCTACTTGGTTCGCCTTCTAGAACTTTCTGTACTTAGTCAAGATGAAAGTGTTATTCAAGTGGGGCTCTCCTCTTAAGTGGAACTGAAGAGGAAAGTTAGAATATAGGTCCCAAGTTAGAGTCCTGTTTGTGAGAAGATGTGAAGACAGTGGTTGGTTCACTTACTTCCCACTATGAGCCACAAGTGGAAGAAGGCAGTAGCTCTCTGCTTTAGGATTATTCCTGTGAATCTACTATTTCTTTGTGAATTTGCAGATCTTTGGGGAAAGGGGGAGGAGAAGAAGAAGAGGTATAATCTGTATAAGAAAGTGTCAATATTTTGATTGCATATTTAGTGTTGTAAATCTGTTTCCTGGATCACATATCACTTTGAGGAGTAATGGTAGTCTTTCCTATTAAGGAACAACACAATTGGAAGTTAATTTACAGTTGAATTATTTTCCTAGAAGTTGCTCTCCTCCCTAACCCTATTCCCCACTGAAAAGAAAAAGAACTGAGGCATGTGTTAGACATTTCAACTGCTGTTGATGGTGATTATTTAACATGAATGATGACATTTATAGATGAAGGGATTCAATTTAATGAGTATGACCCACTCAACTCCAACTTGTAATTTTCTCTAGAATCTTCATTTTGTTTCCTTCCCCTGTCATAAGTATCCATGTTATGAGGGGGAAAAAAGATATATTCTGGCCCACGGCAGGTGGGGCATACAATTTGAATGACTGTTTTAGGAGTGATAATCAAGATTTGTATTTATCCATCAATATCTCTTCCCTTCTCGTGGCTGAATAGCATTCCATTGTGTGTGAATACCACTTTATCTGTTCCTCCATTGATGGTCTTTTGGGTTGTCTCCATATCTTGACTATTGTGAGTAATGCTGTGATAAACATAAGGGCGCATATATTTTGTCAAAAACTTCTTTTTTTTCTGGTCAGGCAAGAAAAGGAAATTTATTAAAAGGGAAACGAGAGGGTGACTGACCCTTCAGAAGAACCAGGGTCCTCCCTTTTTGATGGGGTCCTTCTTATACCCTGCCAATGGAAGATTCTCTGAGAGAATGATTTTTTAATTTAATTATTTTAATGTGTATTTGAATTTGTTTTGCTAACATTTGGTTGAGAATTTTTACATCTATGTTCATCAGAGATAGTAATTTAATTATTTAATTTCCTTTTCCTGTAATATCCTTGACAGATGTTATCTCTTTTTATGCTATAATTTCATTACTAAGTTGTAGTATCTATGAAAAAGTGAAAGTGTTAGTCTCTTGCTCATGTTCAAGTCTTTGTGACCTCATGGACTATAGCCTGCCAGGCTCCTCTGTCCCTGGGATTCTCCAGGCAAGAATATTGGGATTTGGTTGCCATTTCCTTCTCCAATCTCAACCCACAGGTTGAACCCGGTTCTCCTACATTGTAGGCAGATTCTTTACTGCCTCAGCCACAAAGGAATTATTTTTAACGCTCTTCTCCTTTAACACATATAGTTAAGAGTTTAACATACTATTCTAAAATAATTTGCAGCATTCTATTTCTTATCTTAATCAAAGTTTTGTGTACTTGGATCTTTTTGTTTCAGCTTGAAGAGTTTGTTTCACCATTCCTTGTAAGGCAGGACTACTGGGGTGGTGAATTCTCTCAGCTTTATTTTGTCTGGGAAAGGCTTTATTTCTCCTTCCTTCTAAAGAATAACCTTACTAGATAGGGTATCTTGGATGGAAGGTTTTAATATGTCCTTTTGTTTTTTCCTGGATGCCTTGAAAATTGTTTATTTATGATTGATGTTTTACTTTTGACAGCTTCATTAAAGTATGTCTTGGACGAGGACTTTTTGTGGTGAGATAATAAGATATTCTGATAGCTTCCTGGATTTGTATACTGAGCTGTACCCTAGGTTTGGGAATTTCTCAACTATTGTCTCTTTAAGTAAACTCTGCTTTTTCTCACCTTTCTTCTCTTTCTGGGATGGACATTATTCTTATGTTGCCCTTTCCAGTGGAATCAGATGGTTCTCTTAGGGTACACTTTAAAATCCATAGTTCTCTTTCCTCTTCCACCTGAATTATTTTTATGTTTCTATCTTTAAGCTTGCTAATTCTCTCTGATCTGCTCTATTTCTAATGCATTGTAATGCACTCTTTATCTCATTTATTGAGTTCCTCAGCTCTAGAAATCTGATTCCTTTTTAGAATTTTAATCTCTTTGGTAAAGTAT